CTGAATATGTTTTGCAATAATTTTCTTTCTTAAGATTTTCTACAAAAAAATGTGTTTCAGTTTCAAAAAAATAAAAGTACAATATGGTATAAAACAAAAAATAGTTAAATCAATGTAATTCGTTCTACATGTTGCAGGTGTTGTTTTTGTTGCTGTTGAGTTTGTTTGTTGGCTATTTTCAGTTGTTATTTGAGTTTGTGTTGTTGATTTACTTCATTTTTTGAAAACAAATTATTCCAATAAAAAAAATTGAATTGATGGTGGTGGTTTAATGTTGTTGTTGTTGTTGACTGACGTTTGTTGTTGCTATTTGTTGGTTGTTGTTGGTGTTTGATGGTTGTTTGGAAAAGAGCGACGTTACTTTAAGCGGTTTATTTTGTTTGTTAAATCTGTATATTGTTTTAAATCTTATTATTAATTATCTGTTTTTTATTTTCATCCACACATTACATGCAAATAATAGTATGCTTCTTCATCTTCTTCGTTTTAATAAATTTTTAACACATTTCTTTCTATCGGAATATTTTTCTTGTCTCTTACTATTGCAATGTGAAAGCATTTTGTCGACAATAAAATTGCTTACGGTTTACAAAAGGTATTTCATTTTTTCCAGTTTTTTTATACTAAAAATATTAAAATTATATAAAAAAGCGTTGATGAAAAATAAAAAAAAAAACAATAAAAAAACAAAAGTAAGTATATAGTATTATAAAATCGAACTATTGTAAATTAATTATTCATATATAGTGTGATTCTTTAAAATTTATCATGTTTTTCATTACTAAGAATAACCACAAACTCTGTTCAAACAACAATGTGTTGAATGATTCACTACCCCAAAAGATTTCAATAAAATATTTTAAACAATTCCGAGCGATTTTGAATAATTTCTCCTTCTAATCTAAAATTATTTCTTAAAAGGAATCGTTTTATTTAAAGAAATTTCCCTGCTCGTTTTCAAGGCACATTTTTATGGGGAATTTTTAATTATTCTTTTTTTTTAAATGTATAGATATTTTCTGTCCTGAGTAATCAGGTAAAACTGTAAAAAACAAGTAAAAAAACATTAAGTTCGGCCGACCGAACTTTTAATAACCTCCACACCTTAGGGTAAAGGAAACATTTGACCCACAAATACCAATTTTCAGACATATTCTTGGGAAAATGTGGCAAAAATCACCAAAATACCGAATATCGGGAGGTACCGTTATATGGGTGCTATACCAAAACGTGGACCTATACATACAATGTTTCGCCACCGGAGCTAGAACCCATTATGACTAACAAATACCAATTTTTAGAAAAATCCGTGAAAAATGTGTCAAAAATCATCAAAATACCGAATATCGGGAGGTACCGTTATATGGAGACTATACCAGAACGTGGACCCATATATCTCATTTTCAATACCAACCGTCCTAGACACAATAGAAATCGTTCTGCTAAATTTTGACGCTCTACGTCAAATAACGTGGGTTGTATCGTGATTTCGACAGACAGACAGACAGACAGACAGACGGACATCGTTAAACCGATTTAGAATTTTAGTCTGAATAAACTAAACATTTTATCTAAAAAAATAAAGGAAAAAAACTTCCTTAAATGAAATAACAAAGAAACAGTCGAATACCTTCTCTTTTCTTTAAAAAAAAAATTCCCCAATTAAATAAATATATTACCTTCATTTTCTTTTGAGTTTACATACTCAGATATCCATGTTCTATGATCAGAGCAGAGTTCAGTGGTTAATCTTAGAGACATGACAAATTAACACAAATGTAACTAAAATTATTGTATTTTTTAAAAAAAGAAACACAATAATTATAAAAAAGAATTATAACCTAGATTTTAATTAAACATAATTAAACAAAGTACACACAGAAAAAAGTCAATTAAATTTAATATTCTTAAAATTATATATATCTTTTTGTTAAAGAAGTTGAAACAAAAGGCAATTTCTATAAATTATGGAAAAAGTTCTCTTGCTTTGTGTTTTCCATGATTAGAAAAATTCAAAAGTAAAAAAAAAATATTGTCCTTTTTCTCTTTGTTTGGATTTTTGCTAAACACTATCTTTTTTGTTGAACCTTGTTGATGATGCATGACATTGGGGGGTTTGGTTTGTTGGGGTTAGGAAGATGAAAGAATTTTGTTTTGAAATATACGCCATTCTTTTTGTTTTGATTTTGATTTATTGTTTATGATTTTTTTGTTTTGTTTTATATTTGAAGCCAAACATGAGATTTTTTGTTTTTGGATTTGTTGTGATCTTAAGGCCAAATTTCAACCTGGAAAATATTCAAAAAGATAAATTTTCAATATTATTGAAAAACAATAAAATTTTGAATTTTGTTAGAAAACAAAAAACCAAAAATATAACAATTTAGAAAAAAAGCCAAAATAGTTGATGCTTTGTTTATTTTTTTTCTCAAATTTATTTTGTGTATATTTCAATTGTTTTTTTCTTTATTTTGCCAATTTATAATATGATACATTTACAATAGAATTACTCTTTTATATTAATTTAGTTAAATTAATTATTTTTTTTTAATAATTATACAATTTTTGTTGTTGATTTTTATGTTATACGTACGCAGTCTAATAGATGATGAGTCTACACAATATATAATTTTTAATTATTTGTTTGTATTCAATTTTAAAGATATATTTTTTAAATATTTTGTTTAAATGATGGTATACATATATAAAATAATATTAATCACAATTTGTTTAGAAGAAAATAAAATATATATATAAAAAATATACATTGTAAGGTGACGGGGAAATGGTTTATGACGATGTGTTCATACCTTAACACAAATGCCACAGGAGCTGATGAGGGACAGCTCAAGAAGCCAAATTGGAATTTTAAGATTTCGGTACTTTAAGCTTTGCATTATAAATGGAGGTGGCAAAAATATAATATAATTTAATTGATTTAAACAATCGAACCGTGAACTTGTTGAAAATGCCGAAAATTGAACCATAAGAATTATCAGGAAGTTCTTTAAAAAGTAGATAAATCCTGAGTGGAGAATTTCAATGGAATTAAGTAAATTTAGGTTTAAATATTAAAAAGATTTCAAAAGTTATAAGAAAATATTTTAGAATGTGAATATCATCAAGCAGTTTTGAATGTAGAATCTAGTTAAAGATAGCGCTTTCAAAACATTTGAGGATTTTTGAAATGTCCAGTCCATGTGTCATTTGCCTGATTGCATTTTTTCACCTTACAATATTTTTATTTTTTAAATTTAATATTAATTTTAATTATTAAAAAAATATGAAAAAAGAAAACTTTACAAAATAACTAAAACTTAAAAAAAAAACAATTATATTTTTCAATATTACGCTTTTTGCAACTTCATTTAGTTTTTAGATTCGTTTTGTCAATTTTTACTTAATTTTGTTTAATTTACAATTTATATTTTTTAATGTTTACAATGTATATAAGTTGTTAAATATTTTGCTAAATTTAAACTTAAACAGAAAAACAAAAAATATATATTTTTTTTATATTCATGTATATATAAAATATTAATATATTCAAGAGACATGAATTTTTTTACTTAAATCTTAAAAATTTGCCAAACGTTTTCTTTTCCCAAACAAAATAATTATTCTTTTTTTCTCGCTAAACAAATAAGGGTTACAATTACTAATGATTATACAAACAAAAATATATATTAATAAAATGTAAATTTAAACATTAAAAAAATATTGGTCTTAAATCCTTACAGAATATTATAATTTTTTACAACGAATTTTTCTTTTTTCCAATATTTTTGACTGCGCAAACTTAAATTACAAAAACAATTACAAAAAAACTTAGAATAGTAATAAAAGTAACAATAAAAAACTTAAAACCAATTGTTTTGTTAAATACAAAAAAATAAAAGATCAGTACAATTTTATAATGAATAATAAAAATAATAATTAAATAAAAATATATGCAATTATTTTTATGGGGTTGTAAAGTCACCAAAAAAACTTTACTTTGGCGGACAAGGAAAACGAAATAAATTAAAAGATTTTTTAATTCAAATAAATCAATCAACAACATCTTTAAAAGTTCAATTAAAATCCTTTGTTCAATGACCAATTAACAATAGTTTTACATTTAATGAAAAAGTCAATTACCTTCCATACTTGAAGTCGAATAATCCAAGCTAGTGAAGCAAAATATTGACGTTACCCTCCAAATTTTGATTCGAATAACCTTTTTAGAAAATTGGAAGCAAAAGAGTATTTCATTCACCTTAGTGAAACAGGCCAATAAAGTTTTTCACTGCTTTTAAAGTATTTTGAAAGATAACATTAGATTTTCTATTCTAGGTTTTCTTTAACTTATTGTCAATTGATTTTTCTTATTAAATTTTTCGTTTTAGTAAACCTTTTTTTCCTTTTCCTTATCCGTTCGTTAGATATTTTCCATAATCGCAACGTTATAGAAAAGAACTCTTTTAAGAAAACAAACTCCAACAAAAGAGAAAAAGAACAAAAATTTTTACAAACGAAAAGGGTAACAAGGAAACAAAACAGGTAAAGTGTAAATTTCTAAACAATTCAAAATATAATTTAAATAATTTATACAAATTTTTTAGTAAAATTTATAAAAAACAATATTGTTGTTGGTCTGATGAAGTTGCCTTTTGACAAAAACAAAATAAAAATAATAATTTTAGAGGGAAAACAAACCAGTAGGAAGGAGCTTAACAGAAGTTATGACAGTTTACTTCAATTTCTTACTTTAGATTTATAAAAGGGGGTTCAATATTGTTTGCCTTTTTAAGTGTTATTACAACTTTTATTAAAATGTGTTTTTTTCTTTTACTAGGGGGATTAGTACGAGTTTTATATTATATTATTTTTTTTTCTTTATATATAAATCTATTTATTTAATTGTATATAAATTGGGGAGAGGAGTATAAATTTAATTCTGTTTGTTTTTTGTTACTTCTTATAAAAATATTATTAATTTTTTTTATATTTGCTTTGAATTTGTCAAAACATATACTTTTATTTTTGCCCTAACTTTTCTTCTTAAAGATATAGAGGGAAGAGTTTGAAAAAAAATACTAAGATTTGTTAAGAGTTTTGAATTAATTTTGATTTTTTTTGTTGAACAAAAAAATTAAAGCATGGTGTTTTTAAAATGGTAAATATTATTTTATATGTTTTGTTTTCTTTTTAATTTTGTTATATAAACGCTTTAATAATTTTTGTTGGTTGTGGTTTTCTAGGCATTTTATTCTCACTGTTAAGTTTCCATATATGTTGTATATATTATAATATTTGTAATACAGAATTTTTCTTGAAGTTTTCTTAATTAAAAAAAAAAGAAAATTAAACTGAATTCATGTTTTTGTTAATTTCGTTCTGTTGTTAAAAATTCTTAATCTTAAAATTATTGTGTATTTATTTGTGTGTGATTTTTTTTTTTGTCGGTATGGTTGGTTGGTTATGTGTATGTAACTGTGTGTTTGTTTCTGTAATCAATTTTATATTTCTTTACTTTCAATTTATATGTGATTCTATGGTAAATTTCTATTTAAATGGCTTAAAACAATGGTATTTATTGTTTCTATATAATATGCAATTGTTATTTTTTGCTTTATTTTATATTTGTTGTTGTATGATTAAATAGGATACGTTTTGTTTAAGGAGTTAAAAAAGTTTTGTTTTTATTTATTTTAATGTGTATATATCTAATGTTTTACCAATCCTCAATTCATATTATAGTTGTAGAGAGATAGATGATAAGAATTGTTTTTTTTTAATATTATCAAATTGAGCTTTATAGATTTCATGTTGTTTTTTGTGTTTCAATTTCTGTAGTTTTGAAATTAATGCTTTTTACGTCATTTTATAATTTTGGATAAAATCTTAAAATTATATATATTTTTAAAATATATGTCTGTGTGTTAAATTTAATTTTTAATTAAGGCTATAGATTAATTGGAAAATTTGTTTTTCTCTTTAATTTGTTTATCTGACAATAATTATTTTAATGTGTATGTATTTTGTTTATTTTGTAATTATAAATTTTGCGTGTTTATTTTGTTAAAAAAGAAAATATTTTTTTTTATTATTTATGATTTGTTTGTATTTTTAACTGATTACTTATTGTGATGTGTATTTTAATTCGTTGCAAATGAGTACGGCTTAGTTATTTTATATATATCAAAATTTAATTTTAGATTTTTATTATTTACGGTTTCTATGCTTCACACAATGTTTTTTGAACAAAACGGAAATTATTTTATATATATTTTTTTGAGAGAAAACAAATTTGGTAAAAAACAAAGTAAGAAAAAATAAACAATCAATAGTGTGCCTTAGATTCTAATCAATTATATAAAAGTTAACAGTTTCAAAATTCCCAATTAAAAAAAAAAAATTATCTTTTTATGGACATTACCAAAATACAATGAATTTTTATCTTTTAATTCTTATCTAGAAAAACATTTACAAATTCTCCCTTATTTTATATATTTTGAGGCATAATATTAATAATAAACCAGTGAAGAAAGTCTTAAAGTCGGGCGGAGCCGACTTTATGATACCCTACACAACTTTACATATTTAGAAGAGCTTTACATAACACGTTTTTATGGGGAGTTTGTGAGAATAAGATCATACCAACTATGATTATTGTTATAATTTAAAGTCCAAAGGAACTAATATATGAGAGCAATATCCTCCTCTGAATTGATTTCTACTAAATTTGCCGAGGCATTTGCGCCTTTTCAATTCGGGCTTGTATTACCCATTTGGTGCACAATTAACTTGAAATCGGATAAATATATATATGGATGCTATATCCAAATCTGAACCGATCTCGATAAAATTTGGAAAATGTAAAATATATATCCCCGAATATCATTACTACGAAGTGCATATTGTCACTGTGAAGGAAAAATTCAACAAATCGGATAAAATATATGTATATATATGGAAGCTATATCCATATCTGAACCGATTTCGATAAAATTTAGCAAAGGAATTTCTGAGTTGTATTTGATATATTATATAATTTGGCATACTATTTTCAGGCCTAATTTGGTAGTATGTGCAAAATTCCATACTATTTGGCCTGACATTACACGTTTGGTGCGCAATAAAAAATCGGACGAAGATATATATGGGAATTTCAATAGGGTTCGCCCTTGGGTCAAAACAAAAGACTTGTGCAAATTTCATCTTGATCGGGCAATAAATGCGACATGTACTTTGTTTACAAAAATACATGGACAGACGGACGGACATGCATAAATCGTCTCAGAATGAGATTCTATGCATATCATCAAAAGGAACTTTGGGTCTATCGCGTTTTCTTTTGCCTGTTACAAACAAATGCACAAAGACATAATACGCTGACCACTTTGTGGTGTAGGGTATAAAAACTAGTTTATTATAAAAAAGTAGTTAATTATAATTCTTTAACTTTGAGTCAACCAATTTCATGCTTTATGTGAAAAATGTGTTGCATTGTTTTAGGCGCAATAAATGTTGTATGCCTTTTAGGAAAGCGTAATTTTTTAGTTCAATTAAATTTGTGTTTTTATATGTTATTTCAAAAAAAAAAAAAAAAAAATAGATACAATATTGGAAAATTCATTAAACATTTGTTTCGTATAATTATATTTAATCTAAGGCACATTTCAATGATAGATGGGACCAAAAGTTCAATAAAAATTCTGACAGATATAAATGTTAAGGACAACCATGAAAAATATCCAGGCCAAGTGATTTTGAGTTTATTTTGGAAACAATAGAGAAACATTTTTCTCAAGATAGTTGTTGGGGGAGGCTGGACGGTGTTTTATTTTCTACTGTAGTTTTACAAAATGAAAGAAAACGGGGAAATGGGGGAAATATAAAAATAATTGAAACAGTAATCCAGTATTTTACAATCAAATTGTGTTGTTGTTGTTTTTTACATTGCTGTTGTTATTGCAATGCTTAATTGTATACTAATTAAAACGTTAATATTCTTTATATTTTCTTTGTCTTTCGTTATTGTTATTTTTTCTGTGTTAAGTCAACATTCCCTCAAATTCCTTACACAAAGTCCACTGTTTGCTTATTTTTTATCTGACAGCTTCAGTTTGGTATTTTGTAGTTGTTTTTAACTTTCTTATCAATATTTTTTGTTAAATTTTATGTTTTTCTTGTCATCTTTTTTGGGTTTATAAAAATGTAATTATGATCAATGCCTATGATTGAAAAAATTTTCCTTGTTGTTTTTTTAATTCAATTTCTTTGAATTCAGTCAATAATTTGTGTGTGTTTTTGCTGTGTCTTAAATATAAATAAATTTTGTTTTACTTTTTGTGTGTCTTGTTGGTTTTTTTTTTGGTTAAGCTTTGCTTAGAATTTTTTTTTTTTTTTTTTGAAATTGATTTTCTCTTTCGTTAGTTTTTTTTTTTTCATGGAAAGGTTAATTAAAACAATTGAGACCAAAATAATTCAAAGTAATAAAATATACTCTTTTGCAACTCATAAGATAAGACGTGTGTTTAAAAAACAATGTTTTTTTCATTCTTTAATTGTGTAAAATGTTTTTTTTTTTTAATTTCTTTAATATAAAAAAGTGCTTAAAATTGTTTCTTATACAGTTTTCTGGGATTAAAAATTAAGCTGATTTTTTGTGGTTTCTACTTTATTGTTATTTTTTTATTATTATTTGAGATTATAATAAAAATGTATTATGTTGTTGTAATTAAATATGTTTGCTTTTGCCATCTTTTTTAAAAGGAGGACGCCTGTGTTTATATTTTCCCATTTTCTTGTGTTGCAAATTCCTACTAATTTTTGTTTTGTCAACTTTTTGCGTTTGCTTAATGATAGAAAAATGTACTGTTATGTTGTTATATATTTGTTTTTGCATGTTGGTTTTGTTGCCTATCGTATTGCTTGTGTTGTTGTTGTTTTCTAGAAACAAAATATAATAATTATTGTGTGAAGTTTTCTTCTTATTGTTGTAGCCATTATTATGAAATTTTATAATAATATTAATTTTTATATATATTTATATATATAATTTCAAGAGGGTTATAAATTTTGTTGTTGTTTTGTTTTTTTTTTTTTAAATAAAATTTTGTGTGAGTTTTGTTATTAATTTATTGATTTTTTGAATATTTTTATTTTTTTAACTCCATGCAGAAAACGTATCCGTATACCATTGTTCGCCATTAGTGCCTAATGGTTGTTGTGGTAGTGGTAAACTGCCCCAACTGCCGCCATTTCCTATTAAACCGCCTGGGTAACGTCGCTTAATGTCTGCTGGATTTTGGTGACCTCCATCAAATTTACGTTTACCGACTGGTGCTTTAGGAATGGAATGATGAACAGTTGTCAAAAATTTATGGTTTTACACGTTACAGGTTGTTTGGTTGTCATCAGTGGTTGGTGTTGTTGAATTGTTTTTGTGTTGTTGACAAAATCATTTAAACAAAAATAAAATAAAGAACACAGGGCAGTTATTTTTTACGAGGCAAAAGTATCGCAGATAGTTGTATAGCGGTTTATTTTTGTGGGTTGAAGGGGAATTTTCGAAACAATATTTGGTAGTGTGGCAATATGGGGAGAAACAGAGAAAGAGAGAGAGAGAAAGAAAGAAAGAAAAAGAGAGTAGACAAAATATTTGCAAGATTAATTGTTTCCTATTTCGGAAAAAATGTAAATTTGGTTTTTAATTAATACATATTGTTTTTTTTTTTTTTTTTTTTGGTTTAGAAATACATTTTTTATATATAAAAATATCTCGGTTAATAATCATTACATTTGGTTATAACAGTAAATGGAATTATAAAATAAATAAACCATATAAATAAATAAAACCAAACAAAACATTTAAAAATAGGAATATTTTTTTTAAAATGGGAATAATATTAAATAGTATGAAAAATATTTATTTTATAATACGAAAAATTAAACAAAAAACAAAAAAATCACATTTCATCAATCGACAAAAAAAACTGCAAATTATTCATATAATTACGATTTTTTTAGATGTGTTAATGTTGGGATATTTTATTTATTTTGATTTATAAGGTTTGTACCCAAGGCATATTTGTGATGCCCTATATATATTGCATAGGAAAAAACAGAGAAAATATTTAATCCATTGCTAATTATATATAAAATACCGTGGATGTATTGAAAAAAATTTTTACTTAAAATTTCACGTAGCGTACATAAATATTCAACTTCCCCACTATGGTAAAATATTTTATACGTCCGTATTACCCAAATAGGGCAGGTTCATATATTTTACAATCTAACAACTAATAACGTTGAAAACTGGTAATGTTTTAAAATGAACCCATTTATTTTCCATTTTATTTTCAACAACAAAAAAAATATATATTTTTTTTAATTGTCAATGCTGATAAATTGTTGCACTTTGAAGTTTTGTACGCTCTGTTATGTTTTTGTAACTAGGGTACGTGGTGGTACATACAAAAGTCCACTTTTGTCTTCAACAATGGATATTTCAATTTTGTCCAATCATCTATAAATTGAATTTGACCTTTTAATACAAATTGTGCTTCGATTTTTGATTTTTAAATGGAGCAGATGATTTTTTTGAATAGAAAAATTAAAAAAGATGACCAGAATATTCGACCAGGTATAATATATACCGGTCAAAAACTTTTAGAGAGCAGTAGATAGAATCAAAAATCTGGAGGGGCAATAGTTCCAGAGTAGATCCTACTTTCTTTAAAATTTGACATTCGAAGGACAAAAAAAAAGAGGAGTGGCGCTGACCGTGTTACCTAATACATATAATTCTTATGCCATTTCCGAAGACAATATTACTTATCATTTAATGGATACGACATCAAAAACTAGAGGGCGAGTTTATTTTAACTCCTGAATTATTACCAGTTTTGATGAATATATAAAACATTCATAGGTCATGTTTACTCCAATACTTGTTAGCGTGGTAAAATACTTGATACCATGATCGTTTTTTTTTTTTTTTTTTGTTAATTTTGTACATATGTCGAAATTATTGTGACAGACCAATGGTTATGGAAGAGGGAGTGTTTGTATGTAAACATAGTATAATTTTAGGCGGTTTCTTCTTCAAAAAAAATCATATTTCATTCAAAAAAATCATATTTCATTCCTTCAGCCCTGAGCTAAAAGTTGAGATAATATATGATTTGTGGAGGTAATATGTACTCCTCGATTTTGAGAATTAGATTTTAGAATTTAATAACATCTCCCCTGTTGAAATCCATTGACAACCATAAAATTAATTAAAATCCCTTAAATATTTTACAATTCCGCGTTGTCATTTTTGCAAAATGTAATAAATTTATTGGAATGAAAAGTTTATTTAAAACATAATTTAAATAATAGAAAAATTTACATACAAACAGAAATTTTGGAGATGTGAATTCAATTAAATACGTGTAATTAACAATTTATTAAAATAACAAAGGGATGAAGTGAGGTGACGAATAATAGACAAAAAAATCAAACAAAAAATTATGAATGACAGACAAATGAAACAATAAATGAAAACATGAAACATAAAACTAGTTTTTTGTTTTTTTTTTTTTTTTTTGAATTTTAATATAAATAGGGAAGAAGTTTTTGAATTTCTATATAAATATAAAAATTATAATATTTCTCGTTTATGCAGTAAAATAAAGTAAGGAGGAATGGGAGAATTGTTTCGATTTGTTTCCGTTTCGAATTTTTTTGTTTGTTAGAATTTTTATTCGGATTTCAGTTGACTAAATTCTTTTTGAGAAATAATATATTGCATGAAATATAGATAGATATTGATTGTTGTTCATATTCAATTTCATTGAGTCGTCAAAATACGTTCATTGTATTTACGCTTGGACTCCAATTGATGCTATTTGTAAAATATCAAATGAAAACAAAATTAATTAATTAATTTAATATTCGAAGAATAATAAAAAAAAACAATTGGTTTCAAAATCTACTGTGTTATTTGAAAGGGAATTTGCGAAATTACGAGATCTTCGATAAGTCTTATTAAAGAAAAATAATTTTAATTAAAGCTTTTAAGTGTTTTTTAATACGTTTGTTTAGCTTCATTTAAACTTTTTGGGAAGAGCTAAAATGCACAAGCAGCAATAGTTTAACAATTTATCTTCCTATACTAAAGTCGTTTTTGTTTCAATAATAAAAAGTAAAGTTATTAAAACAAACTAAGATCGTTTTATATTACTGTCAAATGCAACAATAGTAACTTATCGGAGAACTATATTGTGTAGCTACTCCGAAACATTTCCGAAGACTGTGAAATACTCTTCTAAGTAGTAATCATTAACCCGATCCTCACGAAATTGAAGATGTAGGTGGGGTTAGGGTCAGGAAAGAAGCATATTGTTTTTGTATATAGGAAACTTGCTATTTTGCTATCTGGCCGAACTGAATCGATCTAGCTATGTATGTTCGTCTTTTCATGTTAATTAGTAATCACGCTACAGGTCGAAATCATTGTCCGACCTCACGAAATTGAAGATGTAGGTGGGGTTAGAGTCAGAAGAGAGGCCTATTGTTTTTGTAGATGATGATTGAAGCGTTGAAATAGACCAAAATGTTGGTATGTCAAAAAGTACCAACATTTCCAACAAACCGCAAATATTCTTTAACCCGGCCAAATCACAAATACCTCAAAAAGGTCACTTCTAAAATAGATCTTAGTTATTCCGCTTATAAGTCAAAAACCGCTGAACTGATTTTCATAATTCTCTTCATTTCGAAATGGTCTTTTGCCAGAAAACTATAATATCTAAGAAAATCGCGTAAAAATATGAAAATAAAAAAGTGATTGTTTTTTTTGTATGACAATTGGATTATATTTTGTTGTAAAATGGACCATAATTTTTTTGTGAAATAGCTTTGAATACCTGATCAACACGACGGAGTGTGTAAATATTGAGCAATACCCCCAGTCAAAAAGCTAAAGGGTAACATCTGGACAGGGATCTATGACATCATTTCAAAAACGAAATCTTTCAAAAAAGATTTGGACATAAAGGGGTTGTAGTGTTGGATCACATAGTCGACTCCGTCGACGACTATGACCTTTGCTTACTTGTTTGATAAAATATTTGTGGCGTAAATTAAGCGACTATCTTGATGACAATAGGGAATTATTTATTATTTCAAAATCTTCATGGCTTGCAGATACCGTTTGTGTTTCGAAACATGTTATTTTTGACAATCCTGCGGACTAAAAGTATTTAGTCTCTTTTTACTTCAAATCCCATAACTCAGCACTAACAAAGCTACATATGTAACAAATACAATGTAATATTTATGTAATAATGTAATAATTATATATTTTTTCCGTACTTTTTAAATTGTAAAGCAAGTAAACACGTAAATTCTCAAGATAACGCCTATAGAAATATTTTACCAGAATACGTCAACGAAAACTGCTAAAAATGTCAAAATCCTTCAGAAACAGCATATTAGGCAATCGTGCTACTACTTTTTGCTCTACTAAGGTTTGTTTCAAAGGATCAAAAGCTTTTATGGGTTCGATACTACATGGGTAATCTAGATCATGCAAGAAGATTCCCTGTTTTTATTTATTATTGTATCCATGACATTTTTTCCATTTTTAATCACTCAAAATAATCATTTTGGAACCCCATAACGTATATATGTGCATTCTTGATCAGACTAAAATGCTAGGCGATCTTGTGTAGCTTGTCTAGCTAAAATCTTGTGTATTTTGCTTGTAAGCAGATGCAGATGCCAAAATATGCTACATAGGTTCGATTTCCAAAAACATTGTCAACGGAGTTCTATGAAATATAATCAGCCCAATCATGAATATCTACGTTTTTCTCGAGTGATAATTACCCCAATCATCTACAAATTGGTGGAAATTTCAAATGCTTTTGTGTTTTAATAAATATTAAACAACTTAAATCAACAAATTTTCAATATTAGGATTCGAATATATAAGTTTGAATTACAAAACTGAATGGAAAATGTCACCAATGTTTCACGGTCGCCTTTTTAAAAAACTTACTGGGTAAAACGCAAAAATGCTTTAAAAACAATGCCTATATAAATAAATGTTTTAAATTTTAAACATTACTTTAATGTTTTTCAAATGTTCTCCTTCAAAATTTTTTGGTAAAAAATTCATAAAATGACCGAAATTCCAACATGGATATAAAAACCAATAAAATGGCTGGATGTATATAACTCGGTTGCTTTTCTCAAGAATTATTGCAATTTCCTTGAAAACTCCAATAAATTATTTAAATTACTTCATTTTTGTGAGAAACCAAATAACTTCAAATTTGCACTACAAATAT